TGATCAGATATCACCTATGAGATGGAGGATGATGAGGAACTTGATTGGATACCAAGTGTAATCAAGTATGGAAGATGGTGGATTCTGGCTCAACTGTCTCAGGATTCCTGCTCTAATTGGACAATGCAGAAAATGAACACAGAAGCCCAAATGTCAGAGCCTAGCTGAGCAAGAGCTCAGAAGAGCCTGATAAGAGTTTGGTCAAGAGAGAGAATCTTTGTCAGGGTGGTGTGTAATTTTCTTTTTTAGTGAAATTTTTGCATTTTGAAATCTTTGCTTGCTTTAAAAAAAAACGGTTTTGGGCTTCCCTGGTGGCACGGTGGTTGAGAGTCTGCCTGCTAATGCAGGGAACACGGGTTTGAGCCCTGGTATGGGAGGATCTCACATGCCGCAGAGCAACTGGGCCCGTGAGCCACAACTACTGAGCCTGCGCATCTGGAGCCTGTGCTCCGCAACAAGAGAGGCCGCCATAGTGAGAGGCCCGCGCACTGCGAAGAAAAGTGGCCCCTGCTTGCCACAACTAGAGAAAGCCCTCGCACAGAAACAAAGATGCACACAGCAAAAATAAATAAATTAATTAATAAACTCCTACCCCCAACATCTTCTTTAAAAAAAACAAAACAAAAATGGTTTTGAACATTTTCCTTTTAAAATATGTCCTCAGGGCTCTTAGGACACAAAATTCTGCTTTTAAGAAATCATCATTATGATTGCTGACATTAAATTAGCACTTTCTGCGAATAATCATCACTAAAACCCCTATGAGCCCAGGTACTATGATTTTTCAGTTTTGCATGTGAGGAACTGGGTGCACTGATGTTAAGTATTTTTCCTTGTACTAGCAACTAGCTGAGCAGGATTTGATTGCAGGCTCCAGGGTCCATGCTCTTACCCAGAAATTTAGCCTGTGATGAAACCAAACTGTTAAAAAGATGGCAGGGGTAAAGTATATTATTTTGTTTGTTCAGGTCCCTTATCTGATTTCCTTTAGGATCATCCTGGCTTATTTTATGTTTCTTTTGTGGAAACTCGCATGGCAGGAAAAGGAGAAAAAACCTCACTACGACACCATCCTGAAGTAATGTGGCTTGCAATGCAAATGTCCCCTAACAAAAATGTGAGAATTAGGATTTTTTGAGCAGAGCGAGTATGAGAAGATTATTTGTGTTACCAAAAAATCTAGGACTTTATAAAGAATTTCAATAGTAGATTCCTTAAACAGGAAGCTGTCTGTATCCTTCACCACAGGGCATTCAAAATATGAAGCAAATTAGATTTAATTAGTCTGCAACATTGTCAGGAATGGAAAAATTGTCAAGGTAACTGCATTCTATACATTTTCTTAAAATTTCTTAATAATACACATTCTCTAAAGTAGTTAATTTTGGCATGTGTTGCCAACATTTCTGATCAGGCTACAGTGTATATATTTCCAGACTGCTACAAATCCACAAAGAATTTCATAGTGCAGAACAGAAATAGGAATCTTGTTTTTCAGTTGTTCTATTTTTCCACGTCTGTGTTCCCAACTGAGCATAAAGACTACTGAAATGCATGAATTTGGAAGTTTTTAATGAGAGTGAAAGCCAGCATATGCACCCAAGTCCCGACATCTGTTCCAACTTGTAACTGGCTGTAACAGCCTATGCTCTATGCAGAACGACTGTGATCATGACAAAAATTACTTTTAAATTGCTTATGTAACTATATGTCTCGGATCATGGCACTATCTTTGGCTTCTATGTGTGTTATTTTTCTAGTATTTCAGGCCTTTTTTTAATTTTAACCACTGAGGTATAGTTGAATTAACGTGTATCAAGGAAGGAAATAAAAGGCTAACTCTAAGAGACTCTGTCACAATGATAACAATTTAAGAAAAATGGGATTTAGCTTTGTTTTCTAGAAGTGAGTTCCAGAGACTTATTAAAAGGGCATTTTGGGGACAAGATTAAGAGCTACATAATTTGCAGGGCTTAGTGCAAAATAAAAACACAGGGTCCATGGCTCAAAAACCAGGAAAAAATGTCATTAAAGGTACTAAAATATATAGTTTTTTCTACAGTTTCTCTCTCAACTTGTCATGGTGCTATTTTATTTGCTATTTAAGGTCATTTAAGTAAAGAAAAATTACGAGTAAATTATTAGCATTTCTTTATATTGTGCAATGCTAGTTTTAAATGCAAATGTAAGACCCTTTAAGTCCTAAGCAGAATCACTAAAATGGCACAATTTGTATTTTGTAGTTAATACATGCATACGTACTTTATTCTTACCACACTAGTGGAAATGCACAGAACTCAACTTTTTGATACTTGCTCATTCTACTAATACCCTCTGCCTTCCACTTACTCACGAGTGAGGGAGAACTGAAAGCAAAAGGAAGCAGGGGTTTCTCTAGCTTTTGCTTTCCCTGTGTCCTAATTTTCAGCGTCAGTGGCTGGCTAATACAGGAAAGGAACATGAATAAGAAAGGACATGATACGATTCTTTGGTCATTTTTGTTTCTTAAAATGCTGTTGCCTTCTTTCTGCATTTGAAGCAAGTTCTGGTTCAAATGGAAGTGTGACCTCAGGGCTGTCAGTTTCCCTTCCACAGCCCCTTACTCAGTGGTAGATGTAATACGCTTACCTTATTTGACCTTTGAGTCTTACTGGACTCCCACACGACATAGGCCCTTTGGAATGCTATGCTAATGGGTACCTAGAATGCTATACATGGATGGAAGGAAGTGCAGACATGCATTATTGTTCTCATCTGCTCTGCTCACACTCATGCTCCATTATCCCATTGGACAGCCCTTATAAAACATGAATTGAAAGATAAAAGTATTAAGAATTTCATGATGGTGACAGCAGGATATTAAACCAAGCGTGGGACCCTTCTGAACATGGGGTCCATGTGACTGTACATGCTGCCCATGAGGCTGACCCTACCTCAGTGACCTCATCTACAAATTGGGATGAGAATAGTTCTTGTCAGGTAGGATTGCCATGAGGAGTAACTAAATTATGAATATAATGTATCCAGCACATAGGAAGTACTCAACACACAATAGTTTCTTAATACCTATATTGCTTTATATCCCAAATAAAATCAGGAAATGGTTATTATATTGTTACTAGAAAACTTGATTTAAGTTGAGCTTTTCCTTATATAAGCTCCACTAAGCAAGATATACTTTCAAACACATGAGACTGAAACACAGCGAACGCTCCTTTATCTGTATTGTGTTTATTAGGCACCAATGTGATCAATGAGCAAAGCTCTGAGGTCAATTCAAGAGGTTACCTGGTTTATCTTTTGCAGTGGTAATTTCTGCAGCAGGTTATAGCAAATAGGGCCTGGTGAGGTGTCCAGGAAAAAGACAAAGGCTTGAGTCATTAAACATGGTTGAAGGCCAGGTTGTCTCTGGCTGAGAATGAGGTCAGCCCCATAAAGCCTTGGGCTTCAAACACATGAAGGGGAGATATTTGAAAGAAAACAAAGACGTGAGCTCTGTCTGAGCAAGTAGGAGTGAACTGCGATTGACTGCAGCATCCGGGTGAAGTGTGGTGTAGAATGAGTTCCAGGATCCAGAGTTACTGAAGAAATATTGTAGATAATATCCATCAATCAATTGATTAATCCAATAGAGCTGCTTATAAAATGCTATTTTATATGCCCAGAGTGTATTTGGCTTATTTATACACTGTGTATAGACCAACCATTCCTCTTTTTTTTTTTTTTTTTTTTTTTTTTTTGCGGTACGTGGGCCTCTCACTGTTGTGGCCTCTCCCGTTGTGGAGCACAGGCTCCGGACGTGCAGGCTCAGTGGCCATGGCTCATGGGCCTAGCCGCTCCGCAGCATGTGGGATCTTCCCGGACGGGGGCACGAACCCGTGTCCCCTGCATCGGCAGGCGGACTCTCGACCACTGCGCCACCAGGGAAGCCCCAACCATTCCTCTTGAAAACATCAATTTTAAAAACTTTGATAAATTATCAGTCCCTGATTGAGTTGACACATATTGATTGTCTAAATATCATTTTATTTAAAACCTAAGTATTTTAATTTTTATTTATTTATTTTTACTGTCCACATTTTAATTTTTTTTTTTTAGGTTGTTAAAATTCATTGAAGTGTATTTGATTTACAATGTTGTGTTTAATTTCTGCTGTACAGCAAAGTCACTCAGTTATACATACACGTATTCTTGTTCATATTCTTTCCCATTATGTTTATCACAGGATATTGAATATAGTTCCCTGGGCTATACAGTAGGACCTTGTCATTACTATTCAATGTTTTGATGAATACAGACACCTGTGTATCTTAAAATTGTCAAGATACCAGCCCACAGATTTCCCTCATAAAACCTAAATCTTTTTAAAAGAGATTCTCTATTTTCCATTGGTATATTTTAGGTGAAAATTATACCAAGTTAAATTGTGATTTTGTTTAAAAATTGTTCATGACAATGATTGATTGGATGTGATAACAGACTGAAATACAAACAGGATAAAAAAAATAGGTAGGATGTTATGAATATTCAGATTCCCAAGAAAGTGAGCAATTTCAGATCATTCAACAGGTGAGACTCTTGTGTCCTGCACAAGTATGATTTTCCTTCTCTGACTTTGAAGCACCAGACTGACCTTCTGTGAGGAGTAGGATAACAAAAGAAATATGATCTGATTTTTTAAAAAATCTCTTCGCAGAGAAAAGGACTGATGAAAATGTGGCATGAAATCTGTGTCTAGCATAATTCTTTTAAGACTTCTCCCCGACTCCTGTCCATGGGGTTTTGAAAATCTGGATTTAATTTTCACTTTAAAAACTTAATGGCCTGAACTATCCCGAGAAATTTGAACTTTCTGAATTCTTGGGCCCTCTCACCCACCCGTGCTGTGGTTACGATGACTAAAGCTGACTAAAGCTGGGAACACTGAGTCAGGAATGGGTTTGCTGTCGTGAACTCTGTTCGCAAAGAATCTTACTTATAAATAATGTTACTCTTTCCAGATGCTGAGCCTAAATATCTGATAGTCGTGCGGCCCGCTCCTCCTCCCAGCCAAAAGAAGTCATGCTCAGGTATTTTTGTTGATTTTTTTTTTTTTTTAATTAACTTTAAAGCATGCCTTTTTGTCTCTTTTCTACCCACAAAGACCACGTGGCTTGGAGATGTCTCAGGAATATAGGTTAGAAGATGTACCATGCCCAGCAGACCCCCGTCAACGCAACCCTGCTTGGGGAGTAGCATAGCCTGGTGGGAGAGGCTCTTAGGGTCTTTTCCATCCTCACCACATACAAACTGCAGGGATTGAGACAAATTATTGAACCTCTCTGTGCCTCCATTCTGCCGTATGGTAGGGTCTGCGTGAGGATTAAATGAGTCCACAAATACGCAACACGTAGGACAGGCCTGGCCCAGAGCAAGTGCTCATTTAGAGTTAACTCCTGTTGGCCTGTCTCTACTTTGTAATGTGTGAACTAAAGCCCGCTCTTGTGCCTTTCAGATTTTTTAGGGCAAAATTTAATGTCTAACCTTTGCTGAAGGAAACTGTTGACATTTCAAAAGCATAACTCATTTACGTGTGTGTTGAATGGGTTGGAACTTGGATTTTATTTACGCCTCTTCCTTCTAAATCTCTTGTATTTAGTCAAACATAGAAAATAGGACTTCTTTCATAAAACAGCAGTGCAACACCCATCTTCCCAGGGCTAGGGAGACTTAAAACAGGAAAGTAGATACCATATGTATAAAAAAGTAGAAACATTTCTGCATGACTAAGGAAGATTAAAATCCTATGTTGTCCCGGGACTTCCCTGATGGGGCAGTTCTGCCCGCCAATGCAGGGGACATGGGTTCGATCCCTGGTCCAGGAAGATCCCACATGCTGCGGAGCAGCTAAGCCCGTGCGCAACTACTGAGCCCACACATCCTAGAGCCCATGGGCCACAACTACTGAGCCCACGTGCTGCAACTACTGAAGCCCGTGTGCCTAGAGCCCATGCTCCGCAACAAGAGAAGCCACCACAATGAGAACACTGCATACCACAACGACGAGTAGCCCCCACTCGCCACAACTAGAGAAAGCCCGCAAGCAGCAACGAAGACCCAACGCAGCCCAAAAAAAAAAAAAAAACCTATGTTGTCCCAGTTTCACTGCTAAAATTTCTTCTCAGATCAAATAAGGAAGCCGTTGCTATTACGAAGGACTGATAGAACTGTAAATATGCTTTTAACATCTGATGTCTCATCTTACTACTCTAGATAAAGCTGATCATAGTGCTTTTCTTTTCTTTTTCATGTTCTAATGTGAACTGTTCTCAAAATAATTATTTCCTAATCATATTTGTCTTTTATAGTACTCTGGTTTTTCACACAGAAAAAAGGATCTTTCTTAAAGGGATGAGAAGGGTTGGGGGACTGTACAGATATTCACATAAACTGAGCAAAGGCGCCCTTTGCAGCTCTGTATTCTGTCTCCTAGGTGTATTAGCCATGCCTGGTTACTAGAAATCAGTTGCCACTATCCCCTCCCCTCCTTCTGTTGGTTTCCTTTTCTTTTTAGAGAAGCAATAAATGGTCAAGTATTTTGAGAAATACAGGTCCTTTTCCTTGACCTCTTGTATTATCCCAAAGTGCAAGGGAAATTTCAATCAGTACTTACAACTTACTAATGGTAGTCATCCAGGCAGCTTTCCATACACTTGAAAAGAAATGTACTCTCATCAATATTTCAAGATTCTATTTCAGAATATTTAACAATAAAGTTAGGAAGCATGAGTATGGTTTTATGGGGTTCTGGCTTCATAGTCACTGAACTTTTTCTTAATATGATTATAAAACAAATATACAAAAAGAAGTAAGGAAGGTCAAGAGAGTGATTACACCTTAATAGCATTTTATAACTTCGTTTCATTTGGGGGCTTCTGTGACACTGGCCTTAGAGATTATGTTTCACTATGATGACCAACACAGGAAATTGTTTCATCCCACTCAGGATATAATACCCCCCCTTTCCTTTCAGACAACAGATATAATTTTTGTTTTTATAATCTGCATTTAAGAGTGATGTAATGAGTCATGGATTAGCTTCCATTCATTTTATATTTGTATCTGCCACATAAATTTTAATTATTTAATCATTTTTAAAGTAAGATCCAAATTTAGTGAAATAATTATTTGATAGTCATGTAAACCTTAGGTTCCTTGGGGAAAGAAAAATGTACCTTTTTTCTCTAAGTGGCATTATCTTCATACATTGTGAGCTAAGCCAGTGATATAGTAAAAAGAAAAGTAGATTATAATTCAGGAGACCTGGATTTGAATCTCAACCTTGGACAACCTTGAAACTACTCTGGGCCTTGTTTTTCATCTATAAAATGAGACAGTTGTGTTACATGAGTGAGTGAAAATCAATGCAGGGGTGGAAAAAGCCTTATCAGAATCACCTCAGGGCTTTTTCAAACTACCTGTATTCCCCACCTTTATCTCAGATTCTAATCTGCCCTCCTTGGGGGCCAAACTTGCACCCTTTGAATCATAGATAAGGTACTGTTGCAGGTGGACCTGGACAGATTTTCAGAGAAGTATAGTTGCATGTTTGCAAGTAATTAAACAATAACCATCTTTGAAAATTATTTAAAATATCTTTTAAAAATTCATCTATGTCACAGTGAAGTAACTTTCCACCACTAGGTTGTGTATATTCTTGTTTCAGAGGGCTTTTCTGCTAGAATAACAACTTATACAACTTAAATCTGACAGAAGCAACAGTCATGGCACAATTTTCAAGGGTATTTGGTTCAGATAACCTTAGCTAAGCTCATACAAGGGGTACCCTCCTACCCACCTTTAAAGGTCACAGGCCATTTTGCTGTTTGGCTCACACTACAGTAGATGAAGATAAAATTTCTTTTTATAGCAAATATACATAGTATCATGAAATGAAAAACGGAATTAATGGAAATACAAAGCATATACGTTTTACATTAGTGCTGCATAGTTTTATTAGGTCCCATTGGATTTTTAATGAATCCTATTAGATTTTACCCTGGTTTCTTTTATGAGCCAGTGTTGGTTTCCATGGTTGAAAATCTTCCCTCCTCTTTTTCGCTCTCCTCCCATGCCTGCAATTTCAAATATTTTTGAAAAAGCAAATGTCTGCATCCCCCCCCACCACATACTTGGAAAGAATCTAGAGTGGTATATCAGCGTCACTCTTGGCATTGCCCCAATCCAGTTAGTCTTGTCAGAATAACTGTGCTTCCTGTATCACTCCTTCTCTTCCAGCAGTATTAAAAATGTGTGCACCTTTTCCATTTAGATACTCACTGTAAAAAAAAAAAAAAAAAAAAAAAAAAAAAAGGCTATTACAATGGTCTCACAAGGGATTTTACACTTCCAAATAGTTTTTTTTAAAAAAAGGCTATAACCTGCAAGCTACATGGTAAGCTTTCTTTTCTAAGGTGTTATTTCACACTAATTCACAGTCCCAGGGGGAAAAAAAGCATAATTTATTTTGTCTGTAGAAGAAAAGTGAGTATATATGTATATATATGCCTATATGTGTATGAGTTTATTTCATTGATAATAGCCAAAACCTCCATATTCATCCCTGACTTGCAAGAAAATAAAAACTAGGAATGTATATAGTTTATATGTGTATATACACACACACACACATAAACCTCAAAAGGGTATTTCATTTGATTCCTGCTTAAATTCATGGGCAAACCATTATTAATATTTGTGCACTATATAAAAAGAAAAGGAACTTAATGCCTTCACGTTCTTCATCTCTTGCTAGCTAAATTGTCTTTGTCTATTTTACCCAGATCATAAAGGGCTTCCCTGGTGGTCCAGTGGCTGAGACTCTGCACTCCAGGGGACCCCGGTTTGACCCCTGGTCAGGGAACTAGGTCCTACATGCCACAACTAAGAGTTCGCATGCCTCAACTAAGGATCCTGCATGCCTCAACTAAGACCCAGTGCAGCCAAATAAATAAATATTTTAAAAATTATTTTAAAAAAAGAAAATACACTAAATATTAACGAGAATTAACCTGTCTGTTACCTCCGCAGGTAAAGCACGATCTCGCAAACCTCTCCACCTGGTGGTTGGCACTCTGACACCAAGCTCAGTCTTCCTGTCCTGGGGCTTCCTCATCAACCCTCACCATGACTGGACATTGCCAAGTCACTGTCCCAATGACAGGTAGTTCACCATTATGGAAAATTTTGTTTTTCATCTGAAAATTGGCACTTGCTTTCAATAGTATCTGCACATGCTTTAGAAGAATGTGTAAATGGCAGGAGCATCAGTATTTACAGATCAGCTATTATCTGTAGAGCCTGATCTAGGTGTGACGGGAATGAAGATACATTAGTCAGGATCCCTACCCTTCAGGGAGTTATCATCTATCCGAATAGAAAACACATGCAAGTATTTTTTTCTTTCTGAAGAAAAAACTAGAAAGGGAAATAAGCCAAATAGCAAGTGGGGTTATCAGTGATAAGTGTAAAAAAATAATCAGAGGATGAGGTTGAAAGCACTTAGTAGAGACTGTTAAAAGTTGCAAAGCTTCATCTTTGGTTTGAAAAGGATGGATCTTTGATCTGTCAGTTGACGAGTTGACGAAGTACTAAAACAATAGTTCTCTCAGTGTGGTCCCTAAACTAAGCAGCATCAGCCTCAATCAATATCACTTGGGAAATTATAAAAAATGGAAATTCTCAGGTCTCCAGACCTACTGAATCAGAAACTTCACGTAAGCTTAGGGATCACTGACTTAGAAAACTGGAGGGAGGAACACATGGAGAAATGTAGGTCAAGGAAAAGCACAGTTGGAAATGAAGCTACCATCTTTCCTTGGCAGAACAAAATAAGAAAGACCTAAGTTTATTTTTAAATTACTGCCATTCATCCATCCAGCACATGTAGTTGGCATTGTCTGTGTGCTGGGCACTGTATAAATGCTGAACCATGATTCTAAACTGGGTATAAGATGATATTTGCTTTTCATAAATATTACTACAGTAGCTTCAAAATTCAAAACTTTGCATCTGACAATCAAAATTTTCAAGCTTCAACCAAGGATTTTTTTTTTTTTTTTTTTTTTTTTTTTTTAA